AAAATTGTTAACACAAACCATTCATACAATGTTCAAGGCACTGAAATTATTCAGTCTTAACCTTTTAAAAATAGCATTATTGCATATTTGTAAGCCAAAATAATGGCTAAAAGTATAATGAGTGCTGAAACTGAAAGTTTTCAAAATTTTCCTACATTCAGGAAAGATAAGTTTGTCTAAAATCATTGAACCACGACCAAATTCAAACTTAAAACTGCTTATTCCTAAGATTGAAAGGGACATAACTCTGCCAAAAAATCATCAAACATGACCAAATTCCAACTTGACCTGCCCATTCCTTTGACATATCCATATGTCAAATTTAAGTTGAATATGTAACACTGTTGGGTAGATAATGAACAGAAACTGTAAATTCATATTATTTTCAAAGTGAAAGGGGCATTTACTCTGCCAAAAATCATTGAACCATGACCAAATTCGAACTTGACCTGCGCATTCCTATGACACATCCAAATGTAAAGATTTGAGTTGAATGTGTTGTACCATTGGGGAGATAATAAATGGAAACTGAAAATTTCATATCACTTTCAAAGTGTAAGGGGCATAACTCTGCCAAAAATCATTGAACCATGACCAAATTTGAACTTGACCTGCGCATTCCTATGACACATCCATATGTTCAAGTTTGCGTTGAATGTGTTGTACCTTTGGGGAGATAATGAACGGAAACTGAAAATTTCATATTATTTTCAAAGTAAAAGGGGCATAACTCTGCCAAATAATCACTGACCAATTCGAATTTGACCTGTATTTTTCTCATGACATATCCATATCAAGTTTGAGTTGAATGTGTTGTACCGTTGGGGAGATAATGAACGGAAACTAAAAAAATTCATATTATTTTCAAAGTAAAAGGGGCATAAGTCTCCCAAAATCAAAATCGAACCATGACCCAAATTTGAACTTGACCTGTTACCTTCTCATAACATATCCATATGTCAAGTTTGAGTTGAATGTGTTGTACGTTTGGGAGATAATGAATGATTATTTTCAAAGTAAAAGGGGCATAACTCTCCAAAAATCATTCGAACCATGACCAAAATTTCGAACTTGACCTGTATTTTCTCATGACATATTCCATATGTCAAGTTGAGTTGAATCTGTTGTACCGTTGGGGAAAATAATGAAACGGAAACTGAAATTTCATATTATTTTCAAAGTAAAGGTGGCCCATAACTCTGCCAAAATCATCGAACCATGACCAAATTTCAACTTGACCTGTATTTTCTCATAACATATCCAAATATGTCCAAATTTGAGTTGAATGTGTGCAACCATTCTTAAAGATTAATGAACGGAAAACTGATGATGACGGAATGACCAGAAGAACGGAACAGGGTAACACTATATGCCCCCGGCCATTAAAACATGGCGGGGCATAAAAAAAGTCACAGTAACTCTATTATTAAAGGCCCACATTTATGCCTTAGAAATCCATAAAAAGTTTATATAATTGCATAATGTTTTAGTAAAAATCAATACTTTTTGATTAGTAATAATGTGCACTCCTTTCAAAACACTTTAGAAAAAACATTGACCAAAAATATGATTTTAACAGCTTACACCCTAAAAAAATATTAAAAATCTCTCTCTGTATATTGAAATTGAGATTTTTTAAAACAATTTTATGAAATTCTTGGGAAAAAAATTTTCTCATTATCTCAGTACCTAAATATACCAGCCCCCCTATTTTTTTTTTTTTTTTTTTTTTTTTTTTTTTCTTGTTACTTACAATGGATGGAAAATGGTCCAGTCAGTTTCAAAAACCTTTCAAAATCTGTTTTGGTACCAAAATAGTATTTACTTCCATTTCTTTCAATATAAAATGGTAATATGTTACCTGCAAAAAAATGTTTTTTGTGTTTTGCAGCCTGGGACTAAGACCCCAACCAGAGACCCCTCACCAATACACCAAAAACAAAGAAGCCTGTCCTGTAGGACAGCATAATGCTCGCACTATTTCTAAGTGCTTGATTAGTTAAAATAGCCTTGATATTTTAAATTTTTTTTAAGTTCACCCAAAAGGGCTAATTTTTTTTTTTATAAATTCATGTTATAGGCCTTTAGAGAGGGTCTAATTATACAGAGTTGACTTGAACTATTAGGGAAGGTAATGTCACAAGGGTTTTTTATTGAGTATAATAAATTACTAAAATTAACCTATGAATACATAAATTTGACAAGAAAAGGTTACAAAGGCTTGTTTATTAAAGATGTTTTAAATTACAAGTAAATCACTGCCTTATTATTATGAATGCCATTAAATGATTGTTTCCCAAAAAAGCACAAACCCTTCAGTATTATTGAGATAAACAGCTTTACAAGCAAAACTTTACCATGGGAATTTTCCTAAGTTGAAGAGGGAAAAAATCAGGCGATAGGAATTCGCAAAATTATGGCCCTAAAAATAAAAACTCTAAGAAAAATAAATTAGACAACAATATAAAATAATATAATAAAATAAATAATTAAAACTGAAACTATAAATAATAATTATAATTAAAATGTTATAATATTAATAACAAGTGACCTAGAAATTAATTACTAAAACAAAAAATTAATAAAATATATATAAAATAATAGATTAGAAGAAAAAAAAAAATCCAAAAAAATAAAAAAATACTAAGATGAACATATAAAAAATAATACTAAACAAGAAAAAAAAATAAAACAAATGCATTTGAAGTTTAAATATATTAATCTTAAATAGTTATTGAGATATGTAAAACTTGCATGTAAACATTAACCAAGAGACGTAAGTTAGAAAAGGGGATATTGAAATCAGCCTTAACATGCCCAAGATAGAGTTATGGAACTTGGTCAGTGACATTACAAGTTTATGACCCTCCAACGTTATGACCCTAAGTGCATGTGTAAAGTTTCAAGTAAATATCTTTTGAAGACCGTTAAACCTTTTAACCAAAATTTCTAAGTTTTTCAAAGGGGCAAATAATTCTGCAAATATTGCAGACAGAGTTATGCAATTTTGCAAACTGATGTACATTGTTACTAATAAATAAGTATTTTAAATTTCAATTTGAATATCTCAAGCAATAATTGAGATATTTGACTTTACAAAAAAAACTTTAACCAAAATTTTCTAAGTTCCAAAGGGGCATTAATTCTGTTCAATATTGTAGGCAGAGTTATTTCCAACTTGTCAATCTGATGTACATTGTTTACTATAAAATAAGTATTGTAAGTTTCAATTGAAAATCTCGAGTAATAATTGAGATATTTGACTTTACAAAAAACTTTAACCAACGCAGACGCCGACGCGGACGCTGACGCCGACGCCGACGCCGACGCCGGGGCGACTACATTAGCTCTCATATTCTTCGAATAGTCGAGCTAAAAACCCAGAATCCATGGAATACCATATTATGCAGGTCTACAGCTTAAACATTTTCTCTCATCTATGCATTGACATAACCCTAACTATATTGAAATTTGTTTCTTTTCATTGGAAGACTTAAGTGACAAATTGAATTGTCTTGGAGATAATTATGTATCCCCAGTGATTTTTCTACTTATATAACACACTCTGAAAAAAAGGCCTCTTCCCAATTGAACTTTTCTTTAAACTCATGCAGTTTTCCCAAAAATATGAACTTAAACCAGCTTTTTACTTCCCAAATCAGCAATTTTAGATATCATTTTTCCCAAAATCAAGAGGCTAACGCCTCTTCCCAATTATGTGAGAAAAATAACTGATCCCCACTTGCCTCAAAATGGACATTAACAGTAACAGGGTGGGAATGTGCAGCCTGACTGGAACTCAAACCTGGCATGCATTGAATACCATCCATGCCGCAGCTCTACCAACTGAGATATAATGTTTCTCAATTACATCTTTTCCCCTTTTTATTGAAGAGTTTATAATTACTGTGACATACCTACCATATTGAAATTTTTGTACAATTTATTTCATGCATTACAGAGAATACTTCTTATACTCATAAGCTATACCGTGAATTTCCTAAGAAACGCACCTCCCCTAACAAAAGCCCCCCCCCCCCCCCCCTCAGGCTTTTTGATAAGGAAAAAAAATCTGCTCTTTCATAATCCAGAATTTTATTCAAATCCTTTCAGAATCCATTAATTTCATAGTATTAACACAAAATGTATAAAATGAACTATAAAAAAATTTAACACATTTTTAATGTTATAACCGTCACTTGTTAACACTAAATATATTTTCAATGATTTTTGGATTTAGGAAAAAAATATGTTGTTAATAATAGCAATCCTTTTGGATATGTTTAGCTCCCAGGGGCGTTTAATTGGAGTTTTACGGTACATGTATATCACATTTTGAACCAAATATCATAGCGGTAAGAAAATTGTGCCATTTGACGGGATCCTCTGAATATTATACACATTGGTCTTTTATGGCACAGAAATCATTGAAACATTCATTGATACTGACCCATTATTCAAAGTAAATCAAACCATAAGAATCCCTTGAAAACTGATTATCAACCAATAATTTCTAACTGACCTTATCAAAATTGAGCACAGAACAGGCGTTAATTCGTTTGGGTCTCAGAATGTCAGGAAATTGGAGGAACCAATTTGTTTGTATAAGGTCACCAGTGTTTCCAGTGTATAACTATAGTAAATTGTCTATAAGACTTATTGTAACACTGATATTCAATTCAATGTTTATTTGAACTTAAAAAAAAATGAGTTTGGATTTGAACTCCAGATTTCTTGCTTCTAAAGCGAGCTTGTATACCACTCGACCAATGGAGAGTTACAAGATAACACAGCCTGAAGATCCCATATTATTTCTGAATTAGAGCTTGTGTAACACTTATCCAATTTTGATATATTTTGTTTACAGTAAACCTGTTGTTAAACACTGAAGTAAATAATCATGTAGCTGAATATTAGCATGTATATATATAAGTATAACGCAACATTAGAACTCTCCAACCAATCTGGAACTATATTTTTGTTACAACAAGAGGGCCATGATGAATCCAGACCTGTTTATGAACACTTCAGGACAAGTGGTTAGTGCATAATTTTCATTTACTACCATGTAGCAAAAAATTAAGACTAGAGCTATCACAGAAGGTGGTTTAAATTACCCCATTCATACAAGATTGTTCTATACTATTTTGATTATCTCATTGTCATTGAAAATATAATATACATAATATATATATTATCTCTGTCAAACAGGAATTTTGGAAGAATTTTTTTCAAAGTAAAATGGTATTTTTTTATGTCATTTTATCACTTTATACACTTTAAATTAGTTTGAATAAGATAATCACAGGCAACACCTATTAATTACCAGTCTAAGACAAATCATACAAAATTAAAGGGGCTCGACAGGTTTTTTGACATTGGAAATAATTTTTGCGAGAATATAAATGCTCAGTTTGATGTAGATCTAGTATAGATCAGTAATTTGTGTGCATAATTATAGATCAGTTTTTCAGAACAATTGTTAGAACGCCTTTTCACTCAAAATACCATAAAATACACTTTTCAATTCTTTTCAGAGTATATTTCTTAATTAATGTTTTGCATGTCTTCCAGTTTTAAGTGCCCCAGCTGATCTGTGTAAAAATATAATGTATAGGCTTTTGAAACCTTATACGAGTTCCTTTAACATGGGGATAAATTCATTCTAGAAATACTTTTATTTTCATTTCTAATTAGCTTCTTAATTTTAGTGTCCAACTTTGGTCTCCAAAGGTTACGCAGTTGCCCATATACCTTACCATACTTTGTTTCCTATGCATTTTCTCATTTTTTTTGTAAATTGTTTATTGTGAAAGTGTCTTTTGTAGGGAAGACAAAATACTACTTTGTTTACATTTTTCCTCTTATATCACCAATAATTTCACATTCAGCTTTACATTCCTTATGTGATAAGCATCTAACATGCTCTAAATAAATCATCATCTTTATGTTTTAAAACTACTGAGTGCAGCCCTTTCAAGAGAAGGAAATATTCATTCATTTTTAAGACATAATGTGCCTTTAAAATTGTCAATGTCCATAACTATGAAATAAGAATTTTAATCTTTGAAGAAATTGTGTTTTCTAGGAATACTCTTTATTACAATATTCTCCCTCCGATGAGTATGGCACTTTACTTTATATTTAAGTTACGTTCAACTCAAAAATTATCATGATAATATGAAAAGGTTTATAACTAATTGATGGTTACAATCAGTATTTTCAGAATGTTAATGACTTTCAGTAGGGATTTTACAAATATGATAGACTTATAATATATGGCAAATATATAAATTGTGATGATCCAGAAAATATTGAAGTATTATTATTATCTAGATGAAACTAATGAAATATGGATAGATAGCAGTATATAGATAATGCACTAAATTTTAAGCTTTTTAAAAATTCTAATGGTTCAAAATTGTAGCACCAAAATTAAGGGAATTTCTTCGAACTTAAATTAATCTCTTAAAAAGATATGGTTAATATTTTATATTACTTTCTTATTCTAAAGAGGCATGTTCAAGTTTCTGTTTCATATTATCTAAATTAAAGACCTTGGAATATTTTAATAACATTTTTGGATATTCATTCTAGATTATGAAAGAAAAGTGGATCTTTTCTTTTACAGAAATTAATTAATGTAACAGATAAACTAAGAAATCAAAAATATATTTATGTTGTGCACAAAAGTCTTGGCCCTTTAAGGCCTGACTCACATGCTTGACTTGTGGGGTTCTCACCAGTATAAAAGCATTGTATTATTGCTTGCAATACTATAAGAATAGCTTGTTGACCTGTTCATTGTATTGCTTTCATGATATGGAAACACAAACATTTTTAGTTTAAAATTTCTCCAATTTCTAATTAGTGATGCATGCTATTCAACACAAAAGAATATTAAATAAGACAAATTAAATTTTCCCAGATTCAGAAATATTATTCAACCACTTACTGCTTTTTACCTCTAAAGAAAATATACAAATTCATTTCATAAACAGGTATTTGGGTATTTCAACTGATCATCAGATGGATATCATTATTATACACTTAAATTTAACAATTTTGAATGAAATAAGAAAGATTTGACAACATTTCAAAGGCTTGGACAATTTGTTCTTCTATAAACATTGTCTGCATTAATTTATTTTTTATTCAAATTATTTTTTTAGAATAGAATAGATTCTGATATTTGATATAAGTTCCAATGATTCATATGGTTGAATCTTCATTTATTTTTAGTTTTTGTCCTGGAAATTACACTCAGACCAAATATTAGTTAGAAGATACAGGTTAATTTGTTTTTCCTTATAACACATCATGTTTCCTTATATTTTCAGCTAAGTGAGAATGAACATAACTATGTTTGGCTGCAAGATTGGGCAGGGGCACCTGGACCAATGTTCTACCGCCATCCAGCCGAGCCCTACAGTTTGCTCCCATTAAAGATATTTCTGGAAGATGCCCATCAAGTACTTGGTGAAAATTATGGACCCCTTCTTCTTAGCCTTGGTGCCATGGTGTCAATGTTGAACTTTGGCGGGATTCACAAAGAGATTGGCCATTTCAATTTGCCAGTGTTGTATGGGCCACCCATGTCTGGAAAGACATTAACAGCATCATGTGTTGCCTTGATAACGGGCATGTCGAAGAACCAGATCAGTTCAAGGTAAAGAACTTATGTAATAAGATTACTTTTATGTTTAAGTTGACGTTACTAAATGTAAATTGATTAATGATGATTAAATGATAAATTGGAATAATTCTATTTCAATTAAGAAAAAAAACTTATTTCATGATAGTGTTGATAGTGTGGAATTTAGTAAAAACAAAATTTAGTAAAACAGAGATAAACAAGGCACGGCTATGTAAGAAAAAA